CCTCCGCTTGGTTTCCCCGATGTAGAGGAAGCCACACCGGGTACAGCAGATGCAGTATACCACATTGGCAGATGTGCAGGTGAACATCTGCTTGATGTGGAAAGTCTTCTTGGGGCCTGGGATGGGGGTGAGGGAGGAGGTATGGGGGCAGGTGTAGCACTTCCTGCGGTTGCAGGGAAAAGTGCCGGGTGTGGTGGAGCTGGAGGGGAGTGTGGAGCGGACAAGGGAGTCACGGAGAGAGTTGTCCCTCCGGAAAGCAGATAAAGGTGGGGAGGGAAAGATGTCTTTGGTGGTGGGGTCGGATTGCAGATGGCGGAAGTGTCGGAGGATGATGCGTTGGATCCGGAGGTTGGTGGGGTGGTACGTGAGGACGAGGGGGATTCTTTTTTGGTTCTTATTGCGTGGACGGGGTGTGAGGGATGAGGTGCGGGAGATGTGGGAGACACGGTTGAGGGCGTTCTCGACCACCGAGGAGGGGAAGTTACGGTCCTTGAAAAACGAGGACAACTGAGATGTACGGGAGTGGAATGCCTCATCCTGGGAGCAGATGCGGCGGAAGCGAAGGAATTGGGAATAGGGGATAGCATTTTTGCAGGAAGGTGGGTGGGAGGAGGAGTATTCCAGGTAGCTGTGGGAGTCGGTGGGCTTGAAATGAATATCGGTTTCTAGGTGGTTGCCCGATATGGAGACAGAGAGGTCCAGGAAGGGGAGAGAGGTGTTAGAGATGGTCCAGGTAAACTTAAGGTTGGGGTGGAAGGTGTTAGTGAAGTGTATGAACTGTTCGAGCTCCTCGTGGGAGCACGAGGCGGCGCCGATACAGTCATCAATGTAACGGAGGAAGAGGTGGGGTTTAGGGCCGGTGTAGGTACGGAAGAGGGATTGTTCCACGTAACCTACAAAGAGGCAGGCGTAGCTTGGGCCCATGCGGGTACCCATGGCTACCCCCTTTGTCTGTAGGAAGTGGGAGGAATTGAAAGAGAAGTTGTTGAGTGTGAGGACGAGTTCGGCTAAGCGGATGAGGGTATCAGTGGAGGGGGACTGGTCGGGCCTGCGGGACAGGAAGAAGCGGAGGGCCTTAAGGCCATCTGCATGGGGAATGCAGGTGTAGAGGGACTGGACGTCCATGGTAAAGATGAGGTGTTGGGGACCGGGGAATTGGAAGTTCTGGAGGAGGTGGAGGGCGTGGGTGGTGTCACGGACATAGGTAGGGAGTTCCTGGACCAAGGGGGAGAAAATGGAGTCGAGATAGTTGGAGATCAGTTCGGTGGGGCAGGAGCAGGCGGAGACAATAGGTCGACCAGGGCATTCAGGTTTGTGGATTTTGGGAAGGAGATAGAAGCGGGTAGTGCGAGGTTGGGGAACGATGAGGTTGGAGGCCGTGGGTGGGAGGTCACCTGAGGTGATGAGGTTGTGGATGGTTTGGGAGATGATGGTTTGGTGCTCAGGGGTGGGGTCTTGATCAAGGGGGCGGTAGGAGGAGGTGTCGGAGAGTTGGCGTCCGGCCTCGGCAATGTAGAGGTCAGTGCGCCATACTACAACTGCACCTCCCTTGTCCGCAGGTTTTATGGTGAGGTTGGGATTGGAGCGGAGGGAGCGGAGGGCTGCACGTTCTGCGGGGGAGAGGTTGGAGTGGGTGAGAGGGGTGGAGAGGTTGAGGCGATTGATGTCTCGACGGCAGTTGGAGATGAAGAGGTCGAGGGAGGGTAGGAGGCCTTGGGGTGGTGTCCAGGAGGAGGGGGTGTGTTGGAAGCGGGAGAAGGGGTCAGTAGAGGGAGGGTTAGGTTCACGGTCAGAGAAGTAAGCGTGGAGGCGGAGGCGGCGGAAAAACTGCTCTATGTCCAAGCGTGAGCGGTATTCGTTGATCTGTGGGTGGAGGGGGACAAAGGTGAGCCCTTTACTGAGGACTGACCGTTCGTCCTCAGTAAGGGGTAGGTCTGGGGGGATGGTGAAGACTCGGCAGGGCTGGATGCTGCTGTCTCCTCTGGAGCTGCTGGCTGTGGAGGTGGTGGGCGGAGCTGTGTCGGCGTCGGCTTTATTCATATCATTTATATCATTCATATCATTAAGGTAGTGTAATCTTATTGAAACATACAAGATTCTGAGGGGACTTGACAAAATAGAATATTGATAAGATTACAGCATAGGAACAAGGATGTCTTTCTGCAATTGTACAGAGCCTTGGTGAGACTACACCTGGAGTACTGTATGCAGTTCGGATCTCCTTATTGGAGGAAGGATGTTTTGGCTACAGAGGGAATGCAATAAAGGTTTACCAGACTGATTTCTGAGATGGCAGGACTGTGTATAAAGAAAGACTAGATTGTTTAGGATTATATTCACACGGGTTTAGAAGAATGAAGATCTCATAGAAACATATAAAATTCTAACAGAACTAGACAGGCTATACGCAGGAAGGATGTTCTTGATGACCTGGAGAATCTAGAACCAGGGTGACAATCTAAGGATCTGCAGTATGGGTCATTTAGGACTGAAATGAGGAGAAATTTCTTCACCCAGAGTGGTGAACCTGTGGAATTCTCTACTGCAGAAAACAGCTGAGACCAAAACATTGGATGTTTTCTGGAAGGAGCTAGATATAGTTCTTGGAGCTAAGGGGAACAAAGGGTATGTGAGAAATCCAGAAAAGGACACGGAGTTGGATGATCAGCTACGATCGTATTGAATGGCAGACCTGGCTCAAAGAGCTGAATGGCCTACTCCTGTCCCTATTTTCTACGTTTATATTTTCACTAGTGGGGGATCTCAAATTGGGACATAGTTACAAAATAAAGGGACATTTATTTAAAATTGGGAAGGAATTAATTTTCTCAGTCGGTAATGAATGTCTAGAATTCTCTAGCCCAGAGATTTGTGGAGGCTATACTATTGAAAGTATTTAAAGAAGAGGTAGATTTTTTTAAATATTGAGGAGTTGAGAGCCATGATGAATTGGCACAAAACAGGTGTTAAGGCCTGGAGCAGATCAGCCAAGATCTCAGAGTGGTAGTCCGAGCTCATGGGCTGAATGGCCTATCCCTGTTCCCTTTTCTTATGGTCTTCTGTAATGAGATATGCCCATCAGGAACACTGACTCCATCCCAGAGACTGACAATAAACACTAAGTTTAACAACTAGCAACATCAATGAGGGAAATGTAATCTTGAATGATAGAATTATCAAACTTGAAGAAACACTGCAAAGTTACTTGCTCACATTTCTTCCATTTAGCATGCTATTGCAGTTAGCCAGATGCAGGATTAGACCGCAACTCCTGTGTTCCACTACAGAGCCTTTCCCATACTTTTAAAGTTTACATTTTCTCAAATTAATGAATGTCAGATAGTGTAAATACTGAGTCAAACAGTTTCAATATCTCTAGATGTGGGAAGTTCTGAGAAGCACAACTGATTAATGCAATGAATTTGTCTGATTCTTACAGAATAGATACTGAAGCATTGCTGTCATTACTTGGATTTTGAGCATAAGCAAGATCAGCAGCTGGAGGATAATGTTAACCTCCCCCAGTACTCAAAACTGGGTGGAATTCCTACACAGACCTAAATAAGTCAACTGGCAAAATATGTTTCTATGGTCTTCACATACAGAATAAGCATGCACTCAGATGAAAATGGAAAATTCTGCATAATAGGAGTCAGTTTGTAACTCAAATTTCAAGTTAGAAATGAGAATTATAGACTTCTATGCCCACACAGTTTAAACATATTTATATTGTATTTATAATACAGAAGCAGTCCATTCAGTCCAACTTTTATATTTTATACATTTAGCTAGCTTTTATATTCCACACCAACTTGCTCCCACCTAACTGTCTCATCCAGCTGTACCTTCCTATTCCATTCTTCATGTGCTGATCAAATTTCCCATTAAATCAATCAGTTGCCCCTTAAAAATATGTGTGAGAGATCATTATCATCGCAGACAATACGCTTCGGAATGGGAGTTTATGTTTGGAAAATAATTGCAAAAGACAGCATCTTTAGCTATTGAAAAAAATCAACTATGGCAAAGTAATTGTCATAATGGAATAAGGATAGAATCTAGGTCTACTGCAAGATCCAAAATGCTTGCTTCCTTTTTTTTAATCCAGACAGTGGAAAAAGATTGAGCAGGAGAACATCCTCTCTCGCTTTTTCTTTCTGTCTTCTAACCATAAAACTATAATATTTTCAGGCCAGGGAACAATACGGTCCATAATTTGGCAGAAACTTAAAATTCAGTAAAGACCACAATGAATGCTGCTACTTGAAATAAATGCCTTGGCAGTTCAATTATTTTGCTCCTCAGACATTGAGATTGTTGGTGCAATTTAGTTCAGTCATCTAACCAACCCAGGAGGCCTAATCCAATCATTGAACATTCAATGCCCAGCACCTACTCAAATTATAGATGCACAACATTAAAGAGAAAATATTTAGAACATAAAGCGTGTGAACATTTTTTTGAGAACAAGGGTTAAGAGGCTCTGGATTTCATTAGTGTTAAGGACTGATGTGGTGGAAGAAGAATCCTTTAATATTTTTAAGGCAGGGGTAGAGAGATAAGCAAGGGGTGTAAAGTTATCAGAGGGAGGTGGGAACACAGATTTGAGGCTACAATCAGATCAGCCAAGGTCTTATTGAATGGCAGAGCAGGGGTTGAATGGCCTAATCCTGCTCCAAATTTATATGCTCTTATGGAAATAAGAAGATATTAGAAAATACATGACTAGGACTATACTGCATGAACAGAAGATAAGTACAAATTGTTTAGCCTGAATTGCCTATTTCCATGTTATAAATACCAACATAATAGGACAGTCTTTTTCACTTACCATTGTCAGAATTGGATCTTTTGTTCGTTGTGCTCCCAGGAACTAACTCACATGATCCAACATCACCAACATCAATACCTTCGGCCATTCGAAAGACCCTCTCTAAAAGGTCTGGGCTGTATCTATTAATAAAAACAAACAATTTATTTACAGAACTTCACCATCACCATCTTCAGCTCTTGTCTGATAATTATGTTTACGTTAAATCATAGCAAAATACAATAAATTTAGAACCACATAAAAGGTATATTAATGTATCATGATCAACAGTGTATTCTTTCTCGAAAGCAAAGTTCTTTGTTTTGGCCCACTCTTTCCCCACCACACACACCCAACCCCACACCTCCCAATCTTTAATTAGGGATGACACCCACAACACATGCGAGTTAACATTAACATACCAGGAATAATTGCCAAAACATGAGAAACGAATTCTAGCTGTTGAGAGGGAATCTTGCCAATGTTTTTGTGTTTCACTAAATGATACTGTGAACACCTATTAGACCCGAGATTTGTTACACATCATCTAAACTCGCACAAACTGCACGTCATCTTCACTCCTTAATCAAAGTCTGGAAACTTCCCACCTGTAGATAGTATTTTTTTTTAATTCACTTGCTGGCCAGTATTTATTACCCACCCCTACCTGCACTGTCCAGTACAGGGCTACCAAGGCATTGGTTCATCACCCTCTTCTCAGGGAGCTTAGGGTTATGCATTAAGTATCGACACCTAATGAATTACAATAATAAAAAAGTATAAGCAGGGATTTTATGGGAGAGGAGTGAAACAGTCATACAGCCCTACAGCACAGAAAAATGCCCTTTGGCCCATCAAGTGTGCACTGTTCAAAAACAAGCATCTAACTACTCTAATTTCATTTTCCAGCACTTGGCCCATAGACTGGTATGCCTTGGCATTACGAGTACATATCTAAATTCTTTTTAAATGTTATGAGGGTTTCTGCCTTTGCCACCCTTACAGGCAGTGAGTTCCTAATTCCCACCACCCTTTGGGTGAAAATATACTTCTTCATATCTCCTCACCTTAAATCTATTCCCCCTGTTCATCGATCCTTCCACCTCATCTAGTGTATCAATGCTCCTCATAACGTTATATATCTCAATCATGAGTCTCAGGTGAGGTACCAACAGCCTGAACAAAGACCAAACTCAAATGCTTCACTCTTCCCACTTAATTAAACATATTTGTGCTTTCCGATGTAACCTCATTAAAGTCACCACGAAATAGTACACCCAAATAAAAATGCATAAATGACTACTAGACAAATACAAAAATAGCCAGGACAAACATAGCAATAGATATTTTTGCTCCTACGACTAACAGCTTCCGGAACAGGCACCTTTTAAATTCCTTCCAATGAGATGGTAAACCAAGGTCCTGTCCTTCAAATGGATGGAGTAGATCACTTGACATTACTTCAAAGAGGAGCAACATGTTTCCTCAGGTGTCCAGGCCAATATTTAATCCCTCAACCAAGTTTGCTAAAATTGTTTTTTTGGTCTAATATCATTGTTGTTCACGCAAGACACATGTGTAAAAGTTGTCTGCTGCATTTCCTACATCAGAAAATGCAAATTACAAGTGGGCCATTCATTTAATAAGATCATAGCTGATCTGATGTGGCCTTACTACCATAACCTTTGACTCTCTTAGTCAAGCATCTACCTTTGCTTTACAAATATTGACTGCCTTTTCTTCCAATGCCCTCTGTGGTCAATTTCCAAAGAGTCAACCTTAAAAAAAAGTTCTTCACAATCTTAAATGGTTCACTCATGTTTTTAAAGTGTCGTCCCTGGTTCTAGTGCCTTCCTCTAGAGGAAACATCCTTTCAGCATTCACCTTGTCAAGTGCCCTCAATTGCATAAGATAACTTCTCATTGTCCTAAATTCCAAAGGACACAGACCCATGCTGTCAAACCTTTCATCATAAAGATAACCCCCTCATTCCAGAAATCAGTTGAGTAAACCTTCTCTGAACTGCTTCTAACAACTTTAAACTCCTTCTTAAAGAAACTCAAATGGTACACAGAACACCAGGTGCGGCTTCACCAATGCCCTGCAGAACTGCAGCAAATTATCTCTTCTATAGTCCATTTCATTTGCGATAAAAAAACACTCCATTTACCTTCCTAACTGCAAACTGTAATTTCCAGTTCCAGATTCCTCTGCGTATCTGGATTCTACAATCTCTTTCCATTTAAAATTATGTACTGCCTTTCAATTCTGCTGGCCAAAGTGGACAAGTTCACATTTTCCTACATCATACTCCATTTGCTGTACTTTTGCTTACTCACTGAACCTATATATTTCTCTTTGCAGACTCCTTATACTCTCTTCACGATTCCCTCTACTACCTTCAGCAAACTTAGCAACCATACCTTTGGCTCTTTCATCCAAGTCACTGAGATAAACTAGCACCAATCCCTGTAGCACTCCACTCGTCACATCTTGCCAACTTGAAATTATTTACACCTATTATTTTCTGTTAGCAATCCTTTGTTCATCCTAACATGTAAACCCTATACCATGAATTCTTAATTTGCATAGTGATATCTAATGTGACACCTTGTCAAGTGCCTTCTGAAAATCTAATTACAACCATCCACTGGTTTCCCTTTACACATTCTGCATGTCACTTCCTCAAAGAAATCCAGTAAATTAGTCAACTGTGATTTTCTTCTCACAAAATCATACTGACGCTGCCTAAGTGCTTTTTTTATTCATTTGCAGGATGAGGGTGCCACTGGCTAGGCCAGCATTTATTGCCCATCTCTCACTGTTAAGCAGTTAAGAGTCAACCACATTGCTGTGGGTCTGGAGTCACATGTAGGCCAGACCAGATAAGGATGGCAGTTTCCTTCCCTAAAGGACATTAGTGAACCAGATGGGTTCTTTTGACAATCGACAACGGTTTCATGGTCATTAGAACTCTTAATTCCAGACTTTTAATGAATTCAAATTCCATCATCTACGTGGCAGGATTCGAACCCGGGTCCCCAGAACATTACCTGGATTCCTTGGATTAACAGTCCAGCGATAATACCACTAGGTCACTACCTCCCCCTTATTATCCACATGCCTCTGTATGACCTCCTGAATAACAATAATTTCAGCAGTAGTGCTTCTATTGTTTCTAATTGACAGTAACAAAGATGCCCATGCATTAACAGAATGCCTATACTCAGAAAATCCTACGTTACTTCTGGACAGTTTCACTTTTGTTACATGGGCAAATGTGGCTGCCAAGTATACTGCAAAACTGCATAAACAATATATTAGCAAATAACTAGATATCTGCTTTAAATTAAGCGAGAAGGGAATGCTATCCAGAATAGCACTGATCATCTGTAAATAGTGCTACAAGATCTTTTATATCCACTTAAACTAGCAGGGGCTTGGTTAGTCCTTGTCCATAAGTCTGCTCTGAATATGCTATATCTTCAGTCCTGCGTTTATGTATCAGTACTGTGTTTAAGTCCATAGTGGTTTGAATCCACAATCTTTCACAGTGACTAAGCCAAGATGTTTATTCAAAATCAAAACAAATCAAGAAACTAAACCATCAACGGGTTTGTGTCAATGATATTTTTATTACAGATATTTTGATTAAAATTTGATCAATGGTGCCGCTTTAAAAAAATGGTCATACATAACTCCAGTCAAACAAGTCTTTTGAATATAAGTACAAAGAGTAGATTTGAATGTGTGGATGTAATTTTAAAAATAAAGCAAAAGAACTCACCCTTCTGCTGGATACCAAATCCCTATGCTCTCTAACATCTGCCCACCCATCTTCCTTGACAATAACTCTATATCAACTTCATGAATACAAAAAAGTGGGCAAGGAGCCCAAAGCAATTTTGCTGAATTATGAGCTTTTGGGGCTGTGTTTTTAATTTAACAAATGAAGGTCGTCATGTGATCTGTTCCGAGGTCAGCCTGACAAGCCTTTGTGGTTTGGTTGTTTCAGATTAAAGGGGACCTTGGTTGTTTTACTGGGAAGAGGGTGCAAAGTACTTATGCCAGGAGACATAGTGCAGTGCTTTTAAATGGGTCCTTTATTGAGAAACCAAATGTGACGTCAGCTTCCATGCTTTCATGGGGAATATCAGTGAATCTCACAGTTAGTTTACTGGGGTGGGGGAGAAACAGGGAAGAGAGAGAGACAGACACACAGATTAAAAAAAAACAAACAGATGGAGAGAGACAGAACAGCTACAGGCTGAAATCCTCGATAGTTCACCGTATCAAAAACAGGAGGGGAAGCTTGCGCTTGGATTTAAAAGATCAAATTTGTAAGGACTTGAATCAAAGGTGGAAGATTCATCATGCTTCCACTAGAGGAAGATCTCCACTAATACTCTCACCAAGAAGGTCAGTTCTAGGATTAGAAGCTAATAGGCTGGGAAAGGAAAAGAACAGAAGTAACCTGGGGAGCTAAGAGTCATTCGAATAGAAGCAAAGTACTGTGGATGCTGGATATCTAAAGTAAAAATAGAAAGTGCAGAGAATCTCGGAGGGTCTGGCAGCATCTGTGTAGAGAGTAAGAAAGTTAAAGTTTTGTACGTCTTCACTTTTTTTTGAAAACAAAAATTATTTGGGCTGATTCTGGGCGAATTGAACATCTACTTAAAGGACTACATTCTGAATCCTGCAAAGTGTGTTTTTACAGTTGTGCTGAAGGTAAGAAGAGGGTTATTTCGTTCTGCAGATTTAGGTACAAGTCTCCTTTGAATATAATGTTTAATCAATAGAGCTTTTAGACTTTGTTACAGTAAACATCATAAAATGTGAAGTCTAGTGTCATTCTTTCAGCTATTAACTGAAGTTTGAATTTTTTTTTCTTATTATTCTTTAATGGGATGAGGGTGTCGTTGACCACGCCAGCATTTATTGCCCAGAGGGCAGATCAGAGTCAACCACGTTGCTGTGGGTCTGGAGTCACATGTAGACCAGACCAGGTAAGGATGGCAGTTTCCTTCCCTAAAGGACATTGGGGAACCAGATGGGTTTTTCTGACAATTGACAATGAATGCATGGTCATCATGAGATTCTCAATTCCAGATATTTCATTGAATTCAAATTCCACCAGCTACCC